TATAAGCTGGCGGGGCACCAGTGAAAGATGATAAAGTGAAATAGAATAAAATAGCAGGTCAATTAGTCCATCGTGATGAATCCACCCGGAATTCAGCACGATAGTTTCCAGGGGGGACCGCGTGGAGGTCGACCCGACGAGGTGCATTGCTAGCAATGAGACTAGTAGTCCGCACCACTAACAATCCCTTCTACTCGGTTTTTTAGGGTTGATATTGGAATGGTAACCCTAACTGCGCTATCAGTATACATTGCCAGGGTATCAGTGAGAGATGACAGGTAAAGATGTAAGCAGGTCAGGTGGCCCGTGATGAATTTAACAAAAATTTAACACGCTGATTGCCAGGGAAAAGTTATGAAAGTCAACCTTGTTTTCAACCGATTTCAAAAAAGGAGTTATTTTATATACAACTTAGAATGGCAAACAAGCTGACGGTCTATTTGATGGAAAGTGGTAAGCGTCGCCTATACACATGAGCAGTAACATGCACATAACAGAGTATACTGTTTCGCCCATGATACCCCCCATGCGTTGCCATTCCTGAGGACTCAGTTGTTATTCCTCTGTACCCTGTAAATTTACTGTCATATCCCACCCTTCAAACCGAAACACAGCCATGCAAACACAACTGCTTCACGGTAGAAACACGAATTGGACAGAGGTAGCCAAGCAATCGACTTTTGTACAAAGTCTCCCTCTGGTAGTTTCTCAATTCGATTGTATTTGTTTTTTTTATGTTTGTTATCTCATAACTTCGTCATTTATAAACCATTTTTTTTTTAAATGAATGAAACTAAGATCGGTTTAATATTTTACTTTTTTAAATCTAAAACAATTGGAATTTATTTTGATTAAAATAATTGTTGATTGTCGAACACGACGTTAAATTACTTGTGAATGTACACCTATTTGGTTCTACTTATTTTTTTTTTTTTCGAAATAAAAATGACACAAGGAAATTCACATAATTCTTATCAGAGTCTGTCGGAACCGCGAGGGCGTGTGTTGATAAACAGATACGAGTGACATAAAAAGCGTCCTCCGGGACTGTTTTAGAAGGGCGAGGGAATGTCTGTGCCGGGGAGAGATTGATTGTTCATTAAAAAGAAAAAAAAACATTTGGCGGGAAAACATTATGTGTGTACTTCGGCGTTTTATTAATTATCCTTGTTGATAGATTGTTTTAAAGTAAGAGGTCTGTTTGAATCGAAGCATTTGGCGTTCCATTGTTTCTGCCTACCCTAATGGGAGACAGGCGTCACAGATATGTATGTATGTATGTATGTAAAATTGTTTTAATAATGCCATTGGATAATAAATTAAGATTGTATTTTCAAAAAAACTACTACAATTATGACAAAATCGGTTTTGATTTAAAATATATTTATAATATATATTTACCAGAGGGAGACTTTGTACAAAAGTCGATTGCTTGGGTACCTCTGTCACATTCGTGTTTCTACCGTGAACCAGTTGTGTTTGCATGGCTGTGTTTCGGTTTGAAGGGTGGGATATAGCGTAAATTTACTGGGTACAGAGGAATAACACCTGAGTCCTCAGGAATGGCAACACATGGGGGGTATCACGGGCGAAACAGTATACTCTGTTATGTCCATGGTACTGCTCATGTCTATAGGCGACGGTTACCACTTTCCATCAGGTGGACCGTCAGCTTGTTTGCCATTCTAAGTTGTATAAAAAATAAAAAAAACAATCGAATCGGGAATCTCTTACTGTTTGAAGTCCATTGGAGATGGACTTACTTATGGTATTATTTATAGTTTCAGTTTAAATCTATCATGAAAAATTGATCTGGTATTTTACTAGAGACTAATCCCGGCTTCGCATGCTTTTTTGGAAAATATAATATAATATAAGCCATATTACTAGCTAATAATGTTGCTTTCTAAAGATATGTGAAAGAAATGTTATCTCGCTTCTTATGTATATATATATATATATATATATATATATATATATATATATATATATATATATGTTATAATTTGTGTGCTGTATGTAATGCAAATAAATTATCTATCTATTTATCTAAATTCAATTAGATTATGGTAGCTATTACTTTTGTCCTACAGCATATTACTGAGTTTTTAAGAATAATTTGGATTAAAAATATTGTTATTTATTTTAATAGATAATAAATGCACGCTTAATTCTCTATTTGCCTCATGGTTGATTGGTAGAGAACGCCGTTTTTTTTTATGGTTGAAAATGGTATAGTAACCCCGCCTGCGCTAACGGGATACGCTGGCGGAGCACCAGTGAAGGGTGATAGGTGAGAATGAAAACATGCCAGTTAGCCCATCATGATGAATTCATCAGGAATTAACCATGATAGTTTCCAGGAGAAACCGCGAAGAGGTCGACCTGGTTGGGTGTATTGCTAGCAATAGGATTCTCAGTCTCCATTACTAACAATCCCTTTCCCCCCAGAGAACGCCGTTAGGTGTTAAGTTCGCCATAATTATGTACACGATACTTCTTGCATGGTTTTAATACTAATTAAATAATTTGAATGTATTTAGTATTAATATAAACCTACGTGGTTTCTGAATGCTAATGTAACATACTTTCTGTAACTCTGTATTTTGTAATAATAAATAAATAAAAAAAAAATAGCAATGAAATGACAGGTACAACACTATAGTCTTCAGAAAAAACAACGTATGAAGCATACCATGTGCTGTTCATGTCCATAGGCAAAAAAAAAAATCGAAACCAGCCAAGATTGTTGTCAACTAGTTCCTATTTGTCCAATACTATTTGTCATTTTTCTCGAAGCATTTCTATGGAGACACTCTATCTATATAACCTAAGGTCAAATCCTTTTTTCCTTATTGAAAAAACTAGCTAATTTTATAATATCACACAAAGCCTAAGCATTAATAATGGCGGCTCCAATATGGTGGAGGCTATTTGGCGGGAAACGGCCAACATGGCGTCGGATTTTTATGATCGAATGTGCAATAAAGGTAGCTATCGAGCGAAGTAGGGACTTATATAATTTTCTAAGACATAACTTTATGTTTTATGTACAATTTCCAAAGTATGTACAAAGGTTATATTCTTGCTATTATTCTGAAATAAGTAAGTATGCTGTATTTACTTAGACCAGTACACACTGGAATATAGTTGTAAGCTGACCAAATATGTACCTTAGCCTGTTTATTAATTTAAAAATATAACTAAATATATGCAGAACTTGTATATATGTATATATCGATTTGGTCCTTTTATAATGACACGGAGTTTAATATTAGCTATAAGATCATTGAACCTTTTTTATTTTGAAAGTATTTCGTGTTAGAAAAGAATATATATAACAAATCCAAATCAGAAGCACAGTCGGAAACATTAGCAGTTGTTAAGGTACAGCACTGTGACAAACGGACTAACGAAGCCTCCCCATAAGAAAGCCTTTATGTAAATTTGAAAACAAAAATTGAAAATTTGCCTATAACACATCGACAAAATCCATTCAAATACAGAACAAGCCCATTTTTGTCGGTTAAAAAATAAAACTGATTTTACACGTCTATCTATTTTTAAAATTGTTATTTATGGGTATTTATTATGTAGTAAAATAAAAAATAAACCAAAAGGTGTAGTGAAAACCACGACGTAATCCGATTTGGCAGCTGGTCCTTTGTACCGGATGCAATAGCGCGCGCCATTGCACCGCGGTATTGTTTCCGGTTTACGGCCGGACGTGACGTCATTTCAGAGACGTTCAATCTGAAGGATTGATGAAATGTAAAAAGTTACTATGTCTAGTTATTTTAAAAATATTCAGACACCAAGATACTCAACTAAGTTTTTTTATTAGTGATATAAGAAATGTGTTAATTTTTATAAAATAAAAGGCGATGGTTATTTTGTCCTATATTTTTAATTTTTAAGTGAATCCCAAGAGCAGGATTTCAAATTCATCTATATTTCTTTATAAAATATTCGATAATTATGTTTGAAATTCATAGAGCAGGTATATTCTTGTATTGATTTTTTTAATGAATGATAATGGAATGGTAACCCCACCCGCTTTATCGGTATGCACCGGCGGGACACCAGTGAAGGATGATAGGTGAGGATGAAGTAGGTCAGTTAGCGCATCGTGACGAATTCAACAAAAATTGTTCACGATGGTTTCCAAGGGGAACACGTAGAGGTCGACCTAATAAGGCATATTGCTAGCAATGTGGCTGTCAAACTCCATTGCTAACAATCCGTTTCCCCCCTCCTGTATTGATTTTGTATTGATAATTCATGCCACCATTTTTATTTGCATTGTTTTGTCCTAATTGAGATAACAAACAAGCTGACGTCTGGTAGGAAAGTACTCTAATACCATAGATAAACGGTGAGAGATGACAAAAATCAAATGCGAAAAACAATTACCAGTGTAAAATCTAATTTCGATGGTGTCTTTTAAGTGGCGCGCGAACAGTGTTGCCAGATCAGAATTAAAGGCGCTGATAAATTTTTAAATTAATCTAGACAAATCTGTACAATTACAGATTTTTTTTAATGTTAATAAATAAATCTGAGTGAAAGAAATAAAAAAAAAACACAATTATTATATGTTTAACATAAAATCAAAGTAGAATTTGTTCTCCTTTAACCAAAGGTTGTCTGTAAGAGATTGCATTAAGCGATATATGTGTATATTTTAATCTGTACTTTATGCTACTGTATTACACTTGAATTGTTTATATGTTATTATTTATTTTAATGTTTCTGATGCAATAAAGAGTTAAATAAATAAATAATTGAAAGCGTCGACCAAAAGATGCCAAAAGATAATCGCGTTTCACCCTGATCAAGGGTTAGGGCCGTCGCTGGTCCTGAGCTCCATGTAATTGTCTCCGTATACCCAGTAATTCCATTGACATATGCCATAAGATGCCATCAAAACTTTTGCCCATATGCGCTAAATAATCCACGAATTTTCTGCTTTAGCTATGTTATTGATTGTTCGCCCCCAGGCCATCCTCATTTCTTCAACCAGCTGTCATGCGGGCTGGACATCATCTCCCTCGCCGGGGAGTGGCTGACCGCGGCTGCGAACACCAACATGTTCACCTACGAGATTGCGCCTGTCTTCATCCTAATGGAGAATGTCGTGCTCGAGAAGATGAGGAGCATGATCGGGTGGAAGACTGGAGACTCCATTTTGGCTCCTGGTAAGTATTTTAGACGACTACATAAAAAGAGGAGGTTTCAAATTCGAATCCAACATTTATAAACCGATTTGGAAAATTTTAAATAATATATTTCAAATAAATCATTCAAATAGGTCTCATACAAATTTCAATAATTTCAGTTCTCTGAAGACAGTAACTACTGGTTTTTAAATCAAAATCACTAGTGTTTCCACGATTGAAGTTGGTAATTTTGTTTGGGAGAGATGATAGGTGAGGATGATGTCAGATCAGTTGGCCAATCGTGGCGAATCCACCAGGAATTAACCACAACGGTTTCCAGATTATATTGCAAGGAATGAGGTTACAAGTTCCTTAACCAATAATCAGAAGTAAGTGAGAAATGATAGGTGAGGATGAAACCAGATCAGTTGTTCCATAGTGACGATTTAACCAGAAATTAACCACAAAATCTTTCTTGACTAGGTGGCTCCGTTTCCAATTTGTATGCGTTCCTGGCGGCTCGCCACCACAAATTCCCGCAGTACAAGGAGAAGGGGCTCACCAGCATCCCTGGACACCTCGTCATGTACACCTCTGATCAAGTATGTACATATTTCTCTTATATATGAACATTTTATTTTTCAGCTGGGGGCGCCGGGGCGAGCACTTTGGTCCAAATTATTCACCGGGCTCAATGAATCCCGAGTTTCTAGAAATATTTCCTTTTGGAGACCGGCATTCATGACGACGGGTTTTTTTAATCGGTGATAATGGTATGGTAACCCCGCCTGCGCTATTAGTATACACTAGTAGGGCATCAGTGAAAGAGGGAGACTTTGTACAAAAGTCGATTGCTTGGGTACCTTTGTCCTATTCGTGTTTCAACCGTGAAGCAGTTGTGGGTATTTTTAGGCAATTTACTGGGTACAGAGGAATAACACCTGAGTCCTCAGGAATGGCAACGCATGGGGGTATCATGAGCGAAACAGTATACTCTGTTATGTCCACGGTACTGCTCATGTCTATAGGTGACGGTTACCACTTTCCATCAGGTGGGCCGTCAGCTTGTCTGCCATTCTAAGTTGTATAAAAAAAAAATTATGATAGGTGAGGATGAAAAGGCAGTCAGTTAGCCCATAGTGACGAAGCAACAACAAAATAAATTAATTACGATAGTTTCCAGGCGGACCTGCTTTGAAGCCGACCTGATAAAGTATATTGATAGCAATGGGAACTAACCTAATGATAACGGATGGGGGGAAAGGGATTATTAGTAATGAAGAATCCCATTGCTAGCAATATACTCAACCAGGTCGACCTCCTCGCGGTTCTCCCTGGAAACTATCATGGTTAATTCCTGATGAATTCATCATGATGGGCTAACTGGCCTGTTTTCATTCTCATCTATCACCCTTCACTGGTGCTCCGCTAGCGTATCCCGTTAGCGCAGGCGGGGTTACCATATCATTTTCACCCATCAAAAAAAATTATGACGGGTTAATATGGGGATTTTTTTTTATTGGATGATAATGGAATGGTAACCCGACCTGCGCTATCGGAATACGCAAGCAGGGCACCAGTAAAAGATGAGATATCATGAGGTGAGGATGAGACAGATCCATTGATTTATATTGACGAATTCATATAGACTTAACCAACATGGTTTCCAAGCGGAACTATGTGGAAGTCAACTTGTATATTGCCAGCAATTGGACTGTTATATTCCCATTACTCACAATCCCATAGACTAAACCAAGATGGTTTCCAGTTGGAACCGTGTACAGTGGAGGTCAACTTGATAAAGTATATTGCCAGCAATGGGGCTGTTATACTGCCATTACTTATAATCCCTTCCCCCTTCACGTGGGGAGCTGGTTCCTCCTTTCTTGAAGTAACATAATAATGTTTTAGCGCCCATACTACAAGCTGTGCTTAGTTCGGAATTAGATGGTTCTGCGCACTCATTTATACCATATCTTCACAGTGCCACTACTCGGTCAAGTCGTGCGCGTCTGTGTGCGGTCTGGGCACCGACTACTGTATCTGTGTGCCGTCTGATGAGCACGGCCGCATGATACCCTCGGAGCTGGAGAGGCTGGTGCGCTACCACAAGGATAGAGGGAATGTAAGTACTTGTAATTAGATCAAGAAAATTCGATTAGTTTAGGGATCAATTCGTGGATCTTAATTATGTGCTCTGAAGAATTGTTCGGATTGCTACCTGCTGCTGATTTTCACCACCGTACAACCCGCCACAAACTAAAATTTCAATCCAACCATCTGGATGAGTGGCGATCTTCCACCGTAAGGTCAAATCTCTTATAGAAATAAGCTTGTCGTTTAAAATCAGGCGCAAATGTAGCTCTCAAAAAAGGTTGTGGTCACAGCCACCCGAAAATCTTTCAATCAGAGTATGAACTCACTTTTAATCGACATAATGCATTCATACAAAGAAGATGTTCACAAAATATATGTCTAAAATTAAGACTGATTAAGATTTTGTACAGTATATAGTTCCACAGAGGCAAAGCCATGGGGCGAACACTAGTAAAATAACATAGGTCTGCACCCATGAAGCGGGGTTTTGCTAACAGTTGCCATGCTTGGCAGACAGGTTAGCAACAACAAATAGTCTTTGTTGTTGTTTTAAGACGGACTTTAATGTCCATTCCTCGACCAGTTCCCTTGGTCACCTCTAACGACACCTACGGAAAAGGAAGGGGTAAATTAATAAACCTGTAAAATATTAGGTACTCTTACGGGGCGCCAGTAAGTGATGATAGGCGAGGATGAAAGGGCAGGTCAGTTAGCATATTGTGATGAATGCCTGCCCATCTGACCATCCCTCGTCCTCCCTTTGTCGCCGCCTACGATACCAGGAAAGGAAGGAGTGGCCTACTCTAGGCTGGGATGTAACTAAAAAAAATATTGGCATATAACTAGCTCTATATCTCCTGATAAATACTCTGTCCATACCAGGTGCCATTCTTCGTGAATGCTACTTCGGGAACGACGGTGCTGGGCGCCTTTGACCCGCTGATGGAGATTGCTGACATCTGCCAGAAGTACGATATGTGGATGCATGTCGATGTAAGTATATAACATGCCACGTTATGTGAATTATAACGTTTTTTTTATACAACTTAGAATGGCAAACAAGCTGACAGCCCACCTGATGGAAAGTGGTAACCGTCGCCCATAGACATGAGCAGTACCATGGACATAACAGAGTATACTGTTTCGCTCATGATACCCCCCATGTGTTGCCATTCCTGAGGACTCGGGTGTTATTCCTCTGAACCCTGTAAATTCACGCCATATCCCACCCTTCAAACCGAAACACAGTAATGCAAACACAGCTGCTTCACGGTTGAAATACGAATGCGACAGAGGTACCCAAGCAATCGACTTTTGTACAAAGTCTCCCTCTGGTTTTTGGGGCAAGCATGTAATACCCAGTCTCCCACCCCAAAAAATGCCTAGTGTATCAGTATGTACGGGTCGTGTCTTATGGAGTTACCTTGATTGCAGGCTGCCTGGGGCGGAGGTCTGCTCTTCTCGAAGAAGTACCGTCACCCCCGTCTCACCGGTATTGAGAGGTGAGTAGTCTACAATCAAACTGTCTGCTTCGGTTTTGGTCTCGGCCAGTTTTGGTTCAAATTCATCAAGATCAAGCTTTTGACCGCGACTTCGTCCTATTGACCGCGATATGTTAATTGACCGGGGTCACTTCTCACCCTTTAAAAAATACATTAGGTCTAAAGAAGAGCAATGCATTAAATATGGGCTTTATAGCGTATTTAAGAATTAATCCAGATAATTTCCACGGGAAGTTGACTTGATATTGGTAACAGTGAAGCTGTGATCTCCATTACTCGTTAGAGAAGATCAGATGAACCCTTTCCCCCAAAACTACGGTATTTTTTTGGTAAAAATCCACCTGCGCTCTTGGTAAGCCCATTCACTCTAAACGATTACTTGAATGACAAACGTGCACGGTGTTAGTGGATCATGCGCGGGCTTTTGACGACCATGTAACTTTAGACATAGTACATTTAAATAAATACACATAACGTTAACAGAGATTTAAAAGAGTAACTGTTGAGTCTCTCAACAGATAACAACTTTACGAACCGTGCAGTAGATTTAAAAAGCAGGCGTCGCTCTTAAAATATCTCCAAAGCCTAACCGCGGTTGCCAACCCGTCTGCCAAGGGGAAAAGGATTGTTAGCAATGGAGACTGAAAAACCCATTGCTAGCAATATACCCAACCAGGTCGACCTCCTCGCGGTTCTTCCTGGAAACTATGGTTAATTCCTGATGAATTCATCATGATGGGCTAACTGGCCTGTTTTCATTCTCATCTATCACCCTTCACTGGTGCTCCGCCAGCGTATCCCGTTAGCGCAGGCGGGGTCACCATACCATTTTCACCCATCAAAAAAAAACTCGCCTGCCAAGTGTGGCAACTACTGGCAAAACCACCCTTATAGGGTAAGCTATGTTCTACAGTGGACAGTTAACGACTGAGACGATATCTTTATTTTGAGCAATACTCTGTCATTTTACCGTTCATATAACTAATCTTTAGTCATTAGCCTCATCAATCATGGCTCAGCCGCTCGCTAAATACCGCCTAGGTGTGGGGGCGCGGGGGGAGAGGGTAAATCCGGGTAAATGGAGCCGCCGCGAGCAGTGGACCGTGCGACAAGTGCGCCAGGGCTGGCACTTTTTATTTTTGTTTTCCTATTTTTCTTATTGCGATGTAAAATGATAAAAAAAATTACGATCCACTTGATGGAAGGTGGTGATTATCGAGCTAAGATAGCCCCACAGCCCAGTGTTTATACTGCGATGCACCCATTTGAACCATTATGTGCTATTCTGAATGGAACGTCACAGACACCATTATCTTCGATATTTTACTATTCCTGAGGACTAAGGTGTATATCTAAAAAACGTGTCTTTGTCCAAGTGAGTTGTATAAAACAAAAACAATTTTTTACATAGGATCATCTATTTATTAACCAAATTCCATAGAAATTCGTTCAGTCGTTTAAGCGTGCTTGAGTATAACAAACGTTCGAAAACTAATTCATAATAAATTCTTTGCCTTTTATTTCTTTTTTTTCATTTTATTTTAACTGAAAGGGTTTATTTTTATCAATATATCACAACGTTCATCATCATCATCACCCTATCATCATAATCAGCTGTTACCTGTTCACTGCTGAACATAGGCATCCTCCATTTCGTGTGGTCTTTGTCAACAGTTACCAAGCTTGGCAGGCATGTCAGCAACCGCAGTTAGGCTTAGGTGTTGTTTTAAAAGGGACGCTGCAGCCCATCCCTTGACCATTAAGTTACCTTAGTCGCCTGTTACGACACTCACACGAACGGAAGGGGTGGTCCATTCCGGGACCATACGGAAATCACAAAGCTACACAATAATCATTACCGTTAACACAATTTTCAATAAATTCAGGCAGGAACAAGGTTAGGCATGGGCGTCACAGTGTATTCTGTATTGTCTATAAAATTGTACATCATCTATAGGCGACATTTACCACTTTCAATTAGATGGATTCTCAAATTCTTTTATTTTTTTATGCAACTTAGAAACGCAAACAAACTGACGGCCCACCTTATTTGTTATTTCGAGTAAAAATATAATTAGTGATATTTGGCAACCCTAAGCTGAATGTACTCTGCTGCACTCTAGCGGCGTTTGTCGGAGTTCACACGTCAACCTATAGAAAACATACCGAGAGAGCTGTCTGTAGCTTCGACTGGCAGATTAGGCTAGGGTAGTGGGTTCGATTAATGCACCTTCATTCGAAGGGACTGTTCGAGTATTAATTTAAATCTAGTTTTATATTAATTATAAATATTTTGACTATTTAAGTTAATAATGTATGGTATGTGTATTTTTTAATTAAATACCTTTGAATTAATTTTTATATTTTTTTTTTTATATCGGTTAAACAGATGTTGCATGTTATATGTTGTATTTAACGTATGTATATATATATATATGTATATGCGTGTGTATGTGTATTTATGTATGTATGTGTATGTATGTATATATGTATATATATAATGTATATATATATATATATATAATGATTTATAATTTATTTATGTAAATATTTATTTTAACTTCTGTCTTGCACTACTACTGCCCACTCACTACTTCCTATGCCACTGCGTTAGGTTGACTGGAAGAAAAACTTTAAACAGAAAAAAAAACTAGCAAATATGAGCAGACCAATCCCCCACAGGCAGCACCCGTTCACGAGTATGACGGATTGTTGCATCACCATCCTCACAACCGTTACTTGATTTCTTATTTGATTTCTTAACTGTTCAGGGCCGACTCGGTGACGTGGAACCCTCACAAGCTGATGGGCACCCTGCTGCAGTGTTCTACAGTGCACTTCAAATATGAGGTGAGTTGAGGAATCCAATGATAAATTCTGTGCCTTAATTTTTTTTTTAATTTTTTTTTTTTATACAAAAATCCACAGCTCTTAAAAAATAACTTAACATGCTAAGTCTCTTATGAATACAGCCAATAACGGATTTTATTTATACAAACAAAAATTTTGATTCCAAAGCGAGGCAGGCGAATTAGAGTGGGTGTATGCAAGTAATATAAGCACATGTATGTAAGGAACCCATATATAATAGTGAGTGCCCATAAAGTTAAGTTAATTTATATATAAAATAATTAAAATCCATGTTACTACAGTTCTGAGATATTGACAGTTTTCATTCTCATGATTAAATAATACAAATTTTCACCCATCAAAAAAAAAAAAAACCAATTGTAAAGAGGGGCTAAATGTATGCGTGGGTGTATGTGTAGTGTGATATAAATAAATGTATAATAATGCGATATAAATAAATGTAAATATGTAGTGTATTTTTTTTTATACAACTTAGAATGGCAAACAAGCTGACGGCCCACCTGATGGAAAGTGGTAACCGTCGCCTATACACATGAGCAGTACCATAGACATAACAGAGTGTACTGTTTCGCCCATGATACCACCCCATGCGTTGCCATTACGAGTGCTTACGCATTAAAAAGATGCAGAATTTATAAGACAAACTAAATATAGAAGTTATAAAGGAATCACTCGTAACTATTTATCACGCGCAATTGTATGAAAAAGTTGACCTGTTTTGCTCGAAGCATTTGTATGGAGACACTCTATTTATAAACTAAGTTCTGTGCCTGTATAAAAATACTTTGTACATACATAAAGACATACATTTTTACCTTTTTTGTGTTATCTACACTAATATTATAAAGAGGAAAGATTTGTATTTTTGTGTGTATGTATGTTTGTAATGAATAAACTCAAAAACTACTTTGTCGATTTCAAAAATTCTTTCACCATTAGAAAGCCACATTCACCCTGAGTAACATAGACAACGTATATATATGTAGACTAGCGGCCCGTCCCGGCTTCGCACGGGTGGACATTTTTACAATATTTTAAAAAGTGGTTATTGTGATATAACGATAATAGTTGGACATATAGTGTCGCGAAGTTTTTTGTAGTTATTGATATTTTCTTCAATATTGTAGAACATACTTTTGTACTATCGCCAATAGTTTCCGCAGCGCACGCGACCAAAGATGTTTTATAGCATTGTATTTACACCTTGAGTTACGTTACTAATGTTTTAGTAAGGATCCATAATCTTTTCTAGCAATAAATATAGCCTATGTTACTCAGGGTGAATGTAGCTTTCTAATGGTGAAAGAATTTTTGAAATTTACAAAGTAGTTTTTGAGTTTATTCATTACAAACATACATACACACAAAAATATTTTTTTTTTCCTCTTTATAATATTAGTGTAGATGTAAGTGTACATATAATATTTAAACAAAAATTAAATAAATAAATAAAACATGGCTCTATGATTAGTATTCCTTCGCCTTCGTGACAGGGAACAAAAAACAATTGTCTCTGATTTCTGTGACAGATAAAAAATATGGGCCGTTAAATTCTTCATAACATTTAATCTAAACAATTATCTGCACCATAGCGCCATCACGCGCAGTGCCTCTGCACCTAATGGCAATTTTACTACTTAACTCTTATTACGAAAACCGCCCTTAACTTGTTAACCATAAAGTCCTTTTTAAATTACATTCTTAGATAAAAAAACAAGAATAAATTAAAGAGATATAGACTCTAGGGCATTAGAAATAAAGTTGGTTTTTAAATGAATACGTAGAGTGTAGAGGGCAAAATTGGCAACATATGTTTGTAAGTATCAGAAGAGGAATTTAATTAAACACGCCGCGTGCCGAAGCAGTGCTTAGTTAGTGATGTTACAGTGAATATTTTCTTATATCGATATTTATATTTTTTAACGCAAAGTCGAACATGCATACTAGAGGGAGACTTTGTACAAAAGTCGTTTGCTTGGGTACCTCTGTCCCATTCGTGTTTCTACTGTAAAGCAGTTGTGTTTGCATGGCTGTGTTTCGGTTTGAAGGGTGAGATATGGCGTGAATTTACAGGGTACAGAGGAATAACGCCTGAGTCCTCAGGAATGGCAACGCATAGGGGGTATCATGGGAGAAACAGTATACTCTGTTATGTCCATGGGACTGCTCATGTCTATAGGCGACAGTTACCACTTTCCGTCGGTTGGCCGTCAGCTTGTTTTCCATTCTGTGTTGCATAAAAAATATTACCTATCTTGCATCATCATACAAAATATACACCTAATAGTTATTATTGTTGATACTAGAATTCGTATTTTTTTATTTTGTGTCATAATTGTGTTTTTTTTTTAATGTGTGATAATGGAATGGTAACCCCGCCTGCGCTATCGGTATACGCTGGCGGGGCACCAGTGAAGGATGATAGATAAGAATGAAAAAAAGACAGGTCAGTTAGCCCATCGTGACGAATACACTTGGAATTCAGCACGATGGTTTCCAGGGGGACCACGGAGAGGTCGACCTGGTTGGATATATTCCTAGCAAATGGAGCTCTTAGCCACCATTACTAACAATACCTTCGCCCCCTCATAATTGTGGTTCAAAACTGAACCGAAGAACTAAGATTGTTTTTGGAAGATTTTTAACAATGTCTCCAAACTGGTGCTATTTAGAAACTGAGACTAACTAAAGTATTCATATTATACCTTTATAAACTGTAATTATTTCAGATTTTTCACTTCACAAATTTCAGAGATGAGAAAGGAAACAAGAGATGGTAACTTTTTCACATTTTCTGGCATAACTAAGAAACTACATAAAAATAAAAAAAAATAACAGTTTTAAAATGTTACTTGTCAGAGGCAAGACACACTGAAAAATAGTGGTATAAAAAAAAATTTGAATATCGACAAGTACCGAACGACTTTCGCATCACTAAAAACTTCTAGTAGGGGCGGAGTTACAGGATTTATTACTTAGCATATTGTTTTGGCGTTTACAAGGCATAATCTTATCAGCACAATGCTAAAGGAATTTATACTTTAAGCCTTATACGATTAGAACTATAATAACTTTAACACATCAGTTACAATTATAGGATCAAAGGATTTTTAACTTTATATCATTGGTATAAGGTTTATTTCAGTTTGTCGATGTTCGTAAAGGGGAGAGTGGGGTTATTTGCATTGAGGTATGCGGGTTTGAAATTCTAAAAAAGTAAGCGTATTTTTTTTAAAGAAAATGTATTTAGAACTATAATCCTGGACGGGGCAGTTTTCATCGACTGTTACCATTTTGGTGAACGTTACTCTCGAATGACATTTTGCCGAGCGTATTTTTTATGGCTAAAAATAGAATGGTTAATTCTTTTATTTGAAAAATGCAACAGCTGAGTTTATAACCGTTTTTATTGGCTGAAATTGTGTTCCGAATAGGCGGTGGAATCATGAAAAATTATATTAAAAAATGCTTAAATTTAAGTTTTTTCATTACCCGTCCACTACTCAACATTTATATAACTTTTTTTATACAACTTAGAATGGTAAACAAGCTGACGGCCACCTGATGGAAAGTGGTAACCGTCGCCTATACACATGAGCAGTACCATGGACATAACAGAGTATACTGTTTCGCCCATGATACCCCCATGCGTTGCCATTCCTGAGGACTCAGGTGTTATTCCTCTGTACCCAGTAAATTCACGCCATATCCCACCCTTCAAACCGATACACAGCCATGCAAACACAACTGCTTCACGGTAGAAACACGAATGGGACAGAGGTGCCCAAGCAAACGACTTTTGTGCAAACGACTTGACTGAATTTTTCCTATTTATCGTGTTATAGTCAATTTATTAAAAAGTTCTGTGAGAACAACATTATTTGTTTGAAGGGTGGGATATGGCGTGAATTTACTGGGTACAGAGGAATAACACCTGAGTCCTCAGGAATGGCAACGCATGGGGGGTATCATGGGCGAAACAGTATACTCTGTTATGTACATGGTACTGCTCATGTCTATAGGCGACGGTTACCACTTTCCATCAGGTGGGCCGTCAGCTTGTTTGCCATTCTAAGTTGTATAAAACAAAACACCTACGTGAACGCATAAATAGCTTATACAGTAATTTATCTTCAAACACGACCACGAATACATTATAATGTCGCGTCAGTAATGCTGCGGTACTGATCAAACAACTGCTCCGGACAGATAGCGCCGCCCCCCGGCTTCGCTTACATTACCATAATTCGCAGCGCAAATAATCGGCCGCGCTCTATCATGCTAATGTGGATTTTGAAGCCACCTCCACGAGCAGTCACTTCCATAAGGACTCAATTCACTAGAAAGGGATTGTTAGTAATGGAGACTGAGAATCCCATTGCTAGCAATATACCCAACCAGCTCCACCTCCTCGCGGTTCCCCCTGGAAACTATCATGGTTAATTCCTGATGAATTCATCATGATGGGCTAACTGGCCTGTTTTCATTCTCATCTATCATCCTTCACTGGTGCTCCGCCAGCGCATACCGTTAGCGCAGGCGGGGTTACCATACCATTTTCACCCATCAACCCACTTCAAAAAGAGAGGTGGTTGAAAGAAGAAAGAAAGAAATATTTTATTCAAATAAACTTAGATTTAGGTTCCCCTCATGCCTCAGTACTCCTGAGAATTTAAATGTACTCGTAATGCTTCTAAACACTGTACTAAAATATAAAAAGGTTTTTTTATGGGTGAAAATGGAATATATATAATAAGTAATATATATTTACATTATTATATGTATCCCATCTCTATATTTTAGAAATAATAGAATTACATCGTGCCTCCGATCAAACTGTTTATAATTACTTCTCTCCATCCAAAGGTTGCCTGGAAGAAATCGCTCTCAGCGATAAGGTCGCCCATTGTTTTCTCATTGTGATTATTTCTTGTAATTATTTATATTTATAATAAGTTTACTATTGTAATCTATTTATCTATTTTAATAAGGCACACATAGCAAATTATAACCATGTTATGTTTATATATAGGTAATTATGGTATTTATACTAGGATACAATTCAAAAACACGTGTACACAACACGATTGACATTTAGACATAACATTTGAATTTCGACACGTGGGAAACATAATAGTTAGAAAACAGCTACTCATTTATGTGTATATATATATATATATATATATATATATATATATATATATATATATATATATATATATATATATATATATATATATATAACTGTATAAAACAATATATATAATTGATATTAAATGAAATTTATACTATAAAACTATCACCACACAAGAAACACAGCCCAGCCATCCTAAACATGTCCTAAACTAACTCAATACTAGTAAAGTACAAATTCATACCAAACAGCTCTTGTACTTCCTAAATGAAAAATGACATATTTAACATGAAGCTGTCAGCTTCATGTTAAATATGTCATTTTTGGCAATATAGGATATATAGTTAAATGATCCCCACTGGAAACTGTTGTGGTAAATTCCTGAATGAATTCGTCACGGCGGCCACGCGAGCTACCCAAAGCAGACGACTTTAACAGTCTCCTCTCCCACCCAGGGCATCCTCTTGAGCTGCAACGCTATGTCAGCGGAGTACCTGTTCATGACGGACAAGATCTACGACCCGCGGTATGATACCGGAGACAAGGTGATCCAGTGTGGACGGCACAACGACATCTTCAAACTGTGGCTGCAGTGGCGCGGAAAGGTATGTCTTTATGTGACTCATCTTTTTTTTACAACACAGGAGGCAAACGAGCATGCGGCTCACTTGATGGTAAGTGGCTACCGTCGCCCATGATCACCCGCAACACCAGAAGCATTGCAGGTATGCTACCGGCCTTTTAAGAAGGAATATGCTCTTTTCTTGAAGTTTATGATATCGTATCGGTTCAGAAATATTGCTGCGGGAAGTGGATTCTAAAGAGTGCGTGCGTGGCAGAAAGTAGCTTCAAAAACGCAAGGTGGAAGATCACCACTTATTCCGATGATTGGAATGGAACTGTAGCTTATGGTGGGTTGTACGGTGGTGAAAATTAGCAGCAGGTATCAATCTGAACAATTCCTCAGAGCACTGCCCATGATAAATTCGATAAAAGATGCACAGAGCTGCAATATCTCTACGCAATTTCAGTGGATCTTATATTTTATTTGCATAAGGGATCAGCTAAGCTGCTGCATGTCGACCCACTGGGATCTTTTATGCTCCCCCTGCCTTATACCATCATTTCATAGATCCTATGTGTTACCCTAACGATATCCCGCGGTTTAAGATATCTGTAGTTCCCTGGCTCTGGATAAGCCGTTCCCAATAGACTCATACGCATACTTGCCAACAAATCACAGTTGCACATCAGCTGTTCCATGGATTCCGATTTCTCGCCGCACAGTCTGCACAGTGTGTCCGAAGATAGACACATCTTGACTAAATCTAGACTTAATTTTCACCTATCATTACCCACTAATGCCCCGCCAGCGTATACCTTAAACACAGGCGAGGTGATTATTCTAATTTTAACAAAATATTATTGATTTTTTTCCACCAGGGCACCTCAGGCTTCGAGCGACACATGGATCGCCTCATGGAGTTATCAGAGTACATGGTCCGACGTATCAAGGAGCAGCCAGACAAGTTCTACCTCATTCTGGAGCCTGAGATGGTGAACGTCTCCTTCTGGTACCTGCCGAAGCAGCTGAGGAACCTGCCCCACGATAGCAATAAGGAGATCAAGCTAGGAAAGGTGAACTAATAGATTTTTTTTTATTTTACAATTCAGGAGGCAAACGAGCATGCGGCCACCAACTCTTACGTGAACCCTACCGTAACAATATGGAATGGCCTTTCTTGAGACGTGTTTCCTTCATTTTATAACCTCGGATTCTTCAAATAAGCGCGGGAAAGTATTTAGCGAGCCGGCATAGTGTAGTCAACTGTTGAGAGTAAAGAATTATTTTTCGGTCGATTGTATTCATGGACCATATTGTCTCTGTGCGTCCCGGCATAAAATAGGCCACCCCATCCTTTCCCGTGGGTGTCGTAAGAGGCGACTAAAGAAGAGCGTGGAATGGGCGGTAGCGTCCCTCCTAAAACGTCTCTAAAAGCCTAATTGTGGTTGCTAAACCGCCTTCCAAGCGTGGAAACTTCTGGCAAACCTCCCCTTAAGGGGCTTGAAATAATAATAAAATAATGTCAAAAAAAATGTTTCTGAGTTCAATCAGAACCCTGTAATTTAAAAATTATCTTATATCATTGTGTTATCATGAAATAATTTATCGTTTTCCCAACCAGGTTTGTGCCAAACTCAAAGGCAAAATGATGCAAGCTGGCACCATAATGGTTGGATACCAGCCCGACGACAGGCGCCCCAACTTCTTCCGGAACATCATCTCCTCAGCAGCCGTGACCGAGAAAGACATAGACTTCCTACTGTCAGAGATGGACCGTTTGGGACAGGATATCATTGTGGATTAAATCAATCCTCGCCATCTTGTTGCAACGTAAGGAATATTTTTAATTGTCGAAGTTTTTGCAGAGAATTACATACCTTGGTCACATCGGATTATGTTATGCGAACTGAGTTTATGTCAGTTTGTCATAAACGCAGTACGTCACAAACTCAGTAATGATCTTGGTATATCATGCATCAGTTTGTTATAAACTCAGTTTATCACGTACTCAACTTGTCACAAACGCTACAACTGTGATTTCTTTTATTACAATTAAATTTAATAGTTTTCCCTTCCGACTGAAATAGAAACCGTGACCGTCTCTTATAGGTGAATTTATTACTTTTAATTAAGTCCCTTTCCTAATAAAATAGATTTGACTCTATCCCTTTTCCTCCCATTTAAAGCTATAAATGCAGAATACATATGATTACAGTACAATATGTATGGATAATGTACTACGCTCACTAGCAGATATTCTTAATCTGTGGTTTCAGACTATTTTTATTTATTACAGAGATTTTTATTTTGTGATTAAATAGGTACGTAATATACATATAAGTATGTGGTTGTAAAATATAATTTGGTATTCTGTCATCAACCTTATAGGCATACAAAGTATTCTTGTGCATCTACTTCTTAAAAAAAAATCCGTTTCCTTACGTCGTATGTCTGGTAATAAAAAAAAATTGATATACTTACTTATAAGTAAAATGTAGTTTTCCGTAGCTCAAATATAAAAGATTTATTAATATTTAAAACTGAATTGCATTTCTTTAAATATATAAATTCCATGTTTTGTAGTTAGTTTTGCGAAGTTTGTTGACAGTGTAAAATGTAGCCTAGTTGTTTAGATTAAATACGAAATGTGGAATTTATTGGATTAAATTTAAAATGATATTGCTGATTCTAAACTACTTTTTTTTTTCTTTGTTTATGGTAAAATATTGGAGTGCATACCCCAAAGTTCCATGTGAAAATAAAAACAAACTCTTGGTATACTTAATCTATGCCTTTAGACAAAATAAGTCTTGTTTTAAAAATTCGATTTCGAAGATGGTTGATAAAATATAAGTAACTTCTGACAATTAATAACGATTTAATATTTGTATTCATAATGTGGTCCACTTAATATTGATAATTTCACACTTATTTTGCTTCTCGACTAATGCACTGTACTATTTTTTAATAATGCACTAGTGAAGCGATTCCCGTATCGGGACAAACGCTGGACATTTGAAACGAATTGAAGAAAGAGATAGATTGTGAAAATAAATGTATTTATTCTCGTGTTAATTGGAAAAAATATAAATTTAAACTATTGTGTTTTAAACACGTAAAGATAGTCATACAAGTCCGCAGGACTGGAAATATCCACCACCAGAGTCCTTAATCTTAGCCATAGAAAAAATATAACTATTTATTTATATATATTAACCAATTGTATACCAGTTTCCACAACAATTTAAGTTCTATAATGAACTATTTTCTAGATAAAATTTATTTAAACAGGGATAAAACTGGCAGTTATAATGGTGTGCTAATTTATGGCTGTAAGGACAAAGTTCTTTTGACTATACTAGTGCGGGGAAAATTTGTGGATAAAGAAAAAAAAAAAATGGCGCGCACATAGATTAAGCGCGAAAAGTATTTTAAATAAATATTACTGGATTTGTTGATAATTGAAACGAACCGTCTGGGATTAGATATAGATGTTGTTGTGCTGTCTGTATGTTGGCTTGTTGACAATGGAGATATATTTTCTCTTACATGTAACGTGTTTGTAATTATAAATACAAAATAACCTCTTTCCATATCGTATCGTAGAATTGAAGTCATGTTTGAATTGTAACATATAGAAAAAAAATCGGAAAAGTCCTTTTGCTTGCAAATGTATTTAGTATGACGTCCCGCTTTGCCTGTATGTGGTCGCGTTGTCATTTATTCTTCGGAAATAGATATTTCATTAATAATCTTAAATATTGCACTTTAGAATGCAAACGTGTTATTAATGAAAAACTACTATTATTGACTTAAAATATACTGAGATTTTCCGACTTTTACGAAGGCAGGCCTCTTAACATTACTAGAAAAAATAGAACGCATGACTATGTACGGAGCCCATTAATTCCATAAATGTAAAAATGGTACGACGAATGAAATTGGTTTATTTATAAATATAATTTATTTAATTGATATACCCACATTTATGTATATATTAATGTAACGAAATATATTTTCAATGCTAAAAGTGCTTAGTTTTGAACGAAAAATTACGAAATTTAGTGAAAAATTAAATGTTAGAATGTTGAATGTGTTAAATTTTAATAAATAATTGGAATGTGATGTCTGCTTTATAAAATTTAATGTCTAACGTGTCTAAAAAATGAATAACGCGCGTAGCGTGTACGGTATCTCATAATTATTATAAGAACATAGAATATTATATAGGGTACAAAATTTATATACATTTAACTCGTTTATTATATTAATTTTAATAAAAAAAAATGTGCAACACAACAAAGTTTTTTTTTTTTAATTTTATTAAAATCTCGTTGAATAGATACAATTTTTGTGATATATCAAGTAGATATACCATATATAGTATATAAATTTACACCCTATATATTAATGTGTCGCTTCTACTCTAATATATTTTCATATTTATTGTTATTTTTATGATTGATGACAAATATATAATTTAATTATTTAAAAAATAAATACGAGTAGAAATGCCACATAAACTAATATCGTCATAATTGTAGAATAAAAGGTTTTTAAACAAAAAATAAATAAATTCATATAAATGAGAGAGTAAGTACATATTGTACTTATTGTCATCGCCTCCCCATAGACTGCCATAATAATTATCCTAAGCAACTTGTATCCATTGTCTCCCAATATGTATGAAAATATATTATGCTTATTTGCAATAGAATTTAATTTCTCTATCACGTGACCTGTGTACTAACAATTTAACATACAAAACCTCTGAATTTATTGTATTTATCTCTGTACAAAACCGCCGTAAAGTCTCTGTAAAAACACAGGCTCGATTGTCTATGGTAATGATTGAGCTGTTTGTAACACATTCTGAACGGATAAAAAAAATAACCTGTCAAGTAGACTTCCCGCCAAAAATACTTTTATAAAGTTTCAACTTTTTTTTTATATTTCCTGTCCTGGAAACGAGTCTTTCAAGCCTTATTATCTGAGTAGTTATAATGCTGATTATTTCCAGATTATTCTACTGTTATGACGTAGATAGATTAAAATAATTATATTGTTAATGTAAAATAATATCAGTCACATAATATACGACACATATCTCCCGTTTGCCAATTAAATATTTTACACGTAGTTTTGGCCTAAAACGCTTCGGTGTCTCAGTATTGAAATTATCTTTTATCTTTTCTTACTTATTGAAAATAAATGCTCGTTTATATGTATTAGGTATATTTTTGTAATATAACCAATTGGTTGTGTTATATTTTTCAATTTAAGTAAATACTTAATTTAAGTAATTTAGATTAATGAATTGCGAGCAACGTGAATTAGTTACATGTACTTGTTTAGGTGTAAACTAGGCGTGGGTAATGTAAGTATCGCTCTGACATACTATATATTGGATTTCTCTGGACATAGATGGTGGAAAATGGTCATCACCCATTTCGATATTGTCATATATTAATTTTAAGCGGCTGCTATATTTCCATATTATATATTGTCAAATCAACATAGTATATATCCGTTATTGAGCCAATATACAGTTATTATAGTAACAATATATAGATTATGCTATATTATATATTACCCATCTCTAGTGTAATCCCATGAAAAAGACAATTTTCACGAATAACGCCATCTAACTGTGAAACAATTAATTTTAAGAGAAAATATTATTGTGTAAACGCGCAATAAATAGTTACTCACATTTCTCTCATTCGCCGGTAGATGTCTATGTAACGCATACAGTAATAAGAAATAAGGTAAATTAATATCTAATTGTAAGTGGTCATATTTATTTAGCCGATCAACTGGTAAATATAAATGGCAAACAAATCTCTCGATAGATTCGTGGTGTACATGTTGATTTCTCGTTGTAACTCTTACAAGCATATCTATCGAGATATTTCTTGGCCGTTTGTTTAGAGGGGGTTATATTTTTTGTTATTATATTATGGTATTTATTACATTTTTTTTTTATTCGTAAATACTCCCAGATTGGTTTTATACTTCTTTTAAAGAATGTTATTGAATTAAAAAATTATTTAAAATGAAATACTTAATTTAATTATGAAAAATAATTCTTGAAAGTTAACGCGTAAATTGGTGGTAAGTAATCAAGAATTACTTAATTCATGCATATTCTTAATGGGGGCTTCCAATAAGTTAGAACTTAGGGCTTTCGTTATAAACGTCACTAGTTGGCGCCACTAGCGCTTGTTAATATGTCAGAGCACAGAAAAAATATGTACTCACCAAATATCGAAAGGAAGGTTTGCTAAAAACGACATTTTGACATGTTAATAATAAATAAATAAGGGAAATTATTATATAGAACAATTGTATGCGATATTATTTAAATAGGCAAAGAGAAAGGGACAAATTGTATACCAATCGTTTTATTTATCACTTAATATAAAGAGAAATATTAAAATGTATAGTACCTACCGTCATAGAATAAAAGGATATTACTGCCGATTGCTTGGGTACCTCTGTCCCATTCATGTTTCAACCGTGAAGCAGTTGTGTCTGCATGGCTGTGTTTCGGTTGGAAGGGTGGGATATGGCGTGAATTTACTGGGTACAGAGGAATAACACCTGAGTCCTCAGGAATGGCAACGCATGGGGGGTATCATGGGCGAAACAGTATACTCTGTTATGTCCACGGTTCTGCTCATGTCTATATACGACGGTTACCACTTTCCATCAGGTGGGCCGTCAGCTTGTTTGCCATTCTAAGTTGTATAAAAGGTTTCGTTTTCTCTTTTTTTATTAATTTCTGAACTATTGTTTTCATTATTATAGTAATTCTATTTTATATTTAAAATTACTATGCGCGTCTGTCTATTTTTACCAAACAACTTCTTACTTCTTTTAAACAATTCAAAGGAATTTCAACTTTTGAAGGTCTTACTGTGATTTCGACACGAATATTTTTTTGTGGATGAATTCTAAATATGTAGATACGAGTCCTGATTATATTATTACTCGTAGGAAACCGAGGCGAGTCGCTAATCCATTGTGAGATTAGTATATTAGGGAATAAGTACATAATGACAATAAGTTAACAAATAAGTAAAGTTACATCAGTTGAGAGTGCAGCGCCAACTAGTGACGGAAGTAGAGAAACAATGGTATGGATATAATTTTTATGAAATACAGATCTATTTATTAAATAATTTTTAGATATATTTCACGCTAAGTTGTAAATATAAGATGCGATAAATATGTGACGATGACAATAGAAAGAGTAGATTAGCGTTCGCGGGGCGATATCACCCGCTTCGTGTGCGACGTCGGTTAGTTTGCCGATGTTTAATGTTTTTTAGGTGGAGAGACGGTGGACAAGCTTTAATTATTACTTATTTTTCTTTAGAAATAAAGAATACATTGAACGACAATGCGATAATATTACACTTTTAACGATAAACAATTGAAACAAATTTTATATTTCTTGTTGCCAATATGGCTGCCATTCAGCATGTGCTGCAGAAAATTTATTGCAACAGTCCATATATATGTATATAATCAATATTAATTTATTACCTATGTTTGCTTCGTGATTATATATTTTGTATTCTGATTGAAACTTGTCGCCGGCTCTCGTGCCATTTTATTTTGTGACAGCTAGTGCCACCTAGCGGTATATAGTAAATTGTTTAAAAGATACGAGAAATACATATTTTTTGGCGATCGAAGTGAAACTGTCAGTCAAATTATAAATTATTAAATGTAAATATATCTAGATGTGCGTGTCCAATGTTCTCGTTTAATAATACGCTAATGTTTTGCGCTTATATATGTTAAAGGAATCGTTAAACGAAAACTATGTTTAATATAGTAACATATAAAATATTATGTCAATGTAGGTACATGAAAATTACATTGAGGTTAATAAACTGTGCAGTAGTCTTTAAAAGACAAAATATCCGCCACTGGACAACAGATGGCGCTATATTCAAAAATGTGCTTCCATCTCGTGTGAAGAAAATATATTCTCAATGTCAATTATAATAGGAAAATGGCTTCCAATATGTCTTCCGTAAGATTTTACGTGATAATTATATTTTGCCAGTTCATAGTTTGTTTCTAAATGTATTTAAACATAAGTTATTAGAATATAAAATGTTAGAATTTCGAAAACTTTAGTGTTTAGAGCTATATATATATATATACCTATTGTTCACTTTTTGATCACTTACAATGTGTAACAAACTCAAAACTATATCCTATTATGATTGTTGCTATATGTAAAAACCTGTATAACCAATAAATGGTATTGTTGTTAGTTTTTGGTCGTTTGGAATTATTCCTAATTGTATCCCGAGAACTAGCACATGGTCGTATTACGGTTTTGACTAGCCTTTCTTGAAAAATGGACTCGTACAAAAATACATTTTTTTTATACAACTTAGAATGGCAAACAAGCTGACGGCCCACCTGATGGAAAGTGGTAACCGTCGCCTATAGACATGAGCAGCACCATGGACATAACAGAGTATACTGTTTCGCCCATGATACCCCCATGCGTTGCCATTCCTGAGGACTCAGGTGTTATTTCTCTGTACCCAGTAAATTCACGCCATATCCCACCCTTTAAACCGAAACACAGCCATGCAAACACAACTGCTTCACGGAAGAAACACGAATGGAACAGAGGTACCCAAGCAATCGACTTTTGTACAAAGTCTCCCTGACGGCCCACCTGATGGAAAATCGTAACCGTCACTTATAGACACGAACAGCAACATGGACGCGTCTACAAAGTACAGGAATACACAGAATAAAAACACATTGTGGATTTTATTAATTTTATTGGAAACAAAATAATAATTATGCTATATTGCACGTGACTCGCAAGTCTAGATTCACACATGTTGAGCAAAACCCACTTACACTTAGCTCCCACTGACGGAACCCTGCGTCTTGCCACCGCAACGGACCCTAAAACATCACGCGACCGAAAGAAACTACATGAAACATCTTTCGACTATTTGGTCCAGTTATAGCACGTCAAATTCGTATGCGTCACTCCGACTGGTGGGGGGCGAGTGGGAATGACTGTTCATATAAGACACTAATATCGTAGTTTGATTAAATACAAATTAATAAATAACAAACACTGGGCGATCATTTCTTAATAGCTAACTGTAAAAAAATATTTTTATATTACATATCACGATTGCTCGCTTCGTAATCGCTAGATGCGTTAGATGCACTTTACATCGACAGCGCCACAATCAAAGTGGCAATAAATAGAGGTAATATATTATAGTAATTTTACATTACTCAACGTTTATTGATATTCAGACGCTAAACCTAATAGATTGGATAGCAATTAACGAGCAAATTTTCAGATATGTAACTGAGGGTCCATTCACCCCATAGGAGTGCCGCACATTAAGTTGACGACTTATAATAAAGTTTCCTATCCTTCGCATGATGTTAAGGAGGGCTAAGGAATACAAATACATGTGACAAAATTTAAATGCATCCTTGTAATATAAATGGCGAGATTTCTTTTTTTTTTTACATTAAATGGAATTATTATAATTATTCCCATGAACACCGGCTTTCGTTCTGATCTCCTTTTAAAAAGTAGATATGACAATTGGATCGTTTTTTAGGCGTCGTACCCTGAAACTATCTCTAATTGAAATTTTCCAAGTAACTTGACAGTTTTGCAATATTATTATGTCATATTTTATAGACAATTAAACATAGTTTTCAATTCTGATAAAATTTTCAGTTTATACTGGTCTTTAGTATATTAATTTCACTGTAATATAGTTTTTTTTTTTTTTCATAAATAATAGCGTTTTAGAATCGACCCTATTACAAATTACTACAAATTTAGAGATTGCAATAAATTTAGGCAATAAAACTTTTTTTTTTCGAAATTTAGTTAAAACGAGGCAAGAATGGCATCAAATATATTTAGTAAAACTAAATTATTGCAATCTATTCGCATTTCAAATTTGTCTCCCTACAATTACATACATTTTTTATACAACTTAGAATGGCAAACAAGCTGACGGCCCACCTGATGAAAAGCGGTAACCGTCGCCTATATACATGAGCAGTACCATGGACATAACAGAGTATACTGTATTTTTGTAAAATTAAGAGATAGGTCTAGAGTAATGACGCGTCGCAATCGACCACAATGTACAGCGTTCATTTAATGCACGTGAATCAGAACATGCGACGCTACCATGAACATTTTCCGAAATTTCAAAGCCGCACCAACGAGAACTTAACGCAAGCAACTTTTGTATGGATCTTAAATGGTGCATTCTCTGTTTTTCAGACACTTTATTGTGGTATTTATGATAATGCGAGAGATGGCGCTAGTGACGCCGTCTACCTAAGAACAAGGAATTACATAGAGGGAATGATAAAATAAAAACTGTAAATCATACGGTTGCCTCCTTTCTTCTTATACAAATATAATTAGTAAAAAGAGGACGAAAGATACACCATCAGTTGCTATTTTTCTCAATTCATAGCAGGCTAGTGTATAGAAAATGTTTGATATGTCAATTATTTGTCAATGACAAATTTTACATTACTAGATTATATATTGGACACAGTTTATATAGAAAGTATGCGAGCAGGTTGTATCTGAATTTGGTAGGGTTATACGGCCGTATAACATTTTCTATATACTAGCCTGCTGTGAATCGACAATTTTATCACTCCTTCTATGTAATTCCTTGTTCTTAGCCGTCTACAGACTTGTGTTGCCCAATAACAGAGTAACGATCATGTACTAACTTCTACCCGCGACTTCATCCGCGTGATCGGTATAAAAACTAGCCTATGTATATATAGTGCGTATATACCAGATTTCATAGTGATTAATAAGCTATTGAGGTGTCAAACAAACTCACATTCACATTTATAATATTAGTAAGGACTTATTTAATATTGCTAAATAATGTTACATAACGTATCGATTATAAACGATTCATTCGGACATAACTCCATTTAACTAAAATTATAAATGTGGAAAATTGTTAGCATGTTTTTCATTCAATAACGCTTAAACTACTCAACGGATTTTAATGAAATCTACTACACGGGTAGGTTATATCAGAACTTAGCATATAGGACACTTTAGATACAGAATCACGCGAGCAAAACCGAGGGAATTGGCTAGTATCTAGTAATTCTAAAAATCGAATAGTTCAATCGATTCTTATTCACAATCGATTATTAGGCAACACAACTGATTTGGGCCTCTGGACAAGTGGCAAGCGAATCCGTCGATGGAATCGACATCGCTAGCGAGTCCATGAGATAGAATGAGATAGCAACGCCGGGTGACTCATTCTAACTTACAGACTAGCTAGCGATGTCGATTCCATCGACGTATTCGCTTGCCACTCGTCTAGAGGGCCCGTTTTTGATATGAACGAGTCCGAAACTTCGAAATCAGGTTCACGGTAGACCCAGTTTCCTAAATCGTAACAACATGATTCAGATAACAAAAAAAAAAAAAATACAATGCAATATATTCAAAAACGCTTAATAAACTAGTACAAAAGATGAGAATAGATCTGTAGTCTTTAACTGTATACAGTCATACACAATTATAAGGTTAAGCAACAAACTGGGCGGTCATTAAACGGATGGGTGACCGCGCATGAGACGTTACAACCAAATAGTCTATTTCAATTGAACTTAATTCGGAAATAACGGAAAACTATTTAAACGATGTTAGTAAACAAATCGAATAATGCAATCGATTGATTGATGTTCGATTTATGTCACTATTGGACATTAGCGGACTGAAAAAAAAATTGCAGATAAATTAGTACTTTCATACCTGCTTCTTTGTCGGTCACGTCAAAACGTTGGCAGTAAAGAAGCCAGCCCTATAGACAAGGGGCGAGCGAATTAACCGATGGAATCGACGAACGAGTGTATGAGTTGGAATGAGACATCCGATGTTGCTATCTCATTCCGTCCTACAAATTCGCAAGCCAAGTCCATTCCACCGACGAATTCTCTTGCCACTCATCTAGAAGGCCAGATATATAGGTACTATTTACCTGTAATTTTTTTTTTATCGCATAAAGTCCTGATAGTGTATTTAAAATATGTGTAAACATGGAGATCTTATCGTTGGAGAAATTGTTTTTTTTTTCTTTTAATTAAGTTCTATTGAAACAAACTGCAAATTACAAATATTCAATGAGACAATAATTTGGCGACATCTCGTGTCAAAATAGTTTACAACTGTAAACAATTTTTTTAATAATTAATTTTTTAATAATTCAAGTGTTCAATTCATACTTTTCAGTATAAATGACGTAATATTAATTTATTTTTTCTATTTAATTGTTTCATATTTCAATAAGCATGTAATTTGCTATGGAAATATATATTAATTAATATAACTCACTCCTTAAAACCTAATGGTCGAGGGATGGGCAGCAGCGTCCCTCTTAAAACATCAAAAAAAAAATTTTTTTTTATACAACTTAGAATGGCAAACAAGCCGACGGCCCACCTCATTGAAAGTGGTAACCGTCGCCTATAGACATGAGCAGTACCATGTACATAACAGAGTATACTGTTTCGCCCATGATACCCCCCATGCGTTGCCATTCCTGAGGACTCAGGTGTTATTCCTCTGTACCGTGTAAATTCACGCAGTTGTCAACGCGCCTGTCAAGCGTGGCAACTACTGACAGAACAAACTTTATGGGCGAAGCCTATGTCCAGCAGTGGACAGTTAACGGTCAGTTTAACCCTTGAAATTAATACAATAAACACGTGTATATTATCTTGTACTGTGCAGTGTCATTAGTAACTCTACCAAAGACAAAGTTTTCTTTTATCAGAATTTTTCCTTTACTTTTTGGTTGAAACAAAAAAAAAATTTCGAAACCCTATCAGTTTTAAGAAATGGATTATATTAATTAACATACTGTATAAAAAACAATATAGTTCAGTATATAATCAAAGAACTTCTACGCTATCCCATGTTTTGCAGTACAAATAAAATAGAGACCGATTCCGAGACGTCATTAATCTGAACGTTATTTATTGACGTAATTTAGAAATTTTTCGAAATTCCCTTTTTACCTCCACACAGTGACTACCGCCGATTAGATCACCCGCAACACCAAAGGCATTGCAGGTGTACTGCCGGCCTTTTATGTTTTATGGGTCATCGTAAACTAAATTTACAATAATTTAAATTTTATTAGAAATTCAGTTCATATTGGCCCTTACCTATAAATATAAAGGAACTCCCATTGAATAAATTAAAAATTGTATTACGTAAATGGTTACTTAGCAAAAGCTTTTACTCTGTTGACGAATTTTTCAAAAAAGAATAGATAAATATCTAATATAGTTGTCGATGCATAAATTAATCAGTTCCTATCAAAATGGGAGATTTGCATGCTGTGATACTGTGATAACTAAACAGGCACGAAACTTTATGTAATTTAAGACAACCGATACCTACGACATTTAATGCAAATAAATTTATTACTATGACTGGTTTAGAAAAATGGCGTAACACGTATACCCCCCCCCCCCCCCTCCCATATTAGCTTAGAAGTCCTCGAATTATATGAAATTGGTATTAAAATATATAAACAAAGTGTTCATATTCCATTGTACTAATCTTAAAGAAACGAATTCCTGTAGATCTTCTCAAAATGAGATTCCAACAACCGTCTACATCACATTCTGTTAAAACATTCATTCCATTTGATCTTATCTTTCAATCAAAACTATAACCAGCCAGTGAACAGTCTGTGGGCGAATGGCAACACTGCAATTTAAAAATCTACTATTTTAGTAGTTTTTTTTTAACAAATGTTCATTTTGAACTGGACAAAGGGAATTTAATCATCTGTCTGTTAAGTTAGTTTTAGTTAATTAATCAAATTCCCAATATCGACTTATATATTTTTATTATTCAGTTTTCTACTGTATTTACAATTTCTTTATATAATACAGCATTATTTCCAAAACTACTAAAATAGTAGATTTTTTAATAAATTAATTTATAACTTAATATTATGATAATTAAAAATGGCTTTAAAGAGTGCAATGTTGCCATTATAAAAGTCTACATTGCCAGCTAACAAAATCATCATACTATAAAACATTGATACTGCCAATGGAACAAAATACCATGTTTGAATAGTTAACCATAGATTATACGAATTTCGTAATTAGCATAACTATGGTCCAAAGAATTAAAAAAAAAACTATACAGAGCCATTTGGCCAGCGCGACAGTATTAAACAATATCCTCTTAAGTGAGATCTATACTCAATATTGGAACTTTAATTACTTTTAAATACAGTTGATACGAAGTTGATCCGAACTGTCCCCCATTGGCAGGATCAAAAATTAACACGTCAACAATACGAGAGATTTTCGATAAAGCATAAAATATAATCAAATTTGATTGACTAACAAAATTGATTTAAATTACTAAACAAATTATGCATATATTGTCAGAAACAAAAAAATGTATATATATTCGCTATGATTTTATACAGACAAGACTTTTAGCACCTCGATTTAGCCACAACAAAACAACAAGAAATGCCAAACATTCTGTACATTTGTTTTAGGGGTATATTAACACAGTCAAATATTTAAAAACTTAGTAAATTTTAAATTAATATCTTTAGAGACTTGGTAACTTTTAACAAAATTCTGAACTCAACAGTAAAGTAAAAAAATATGACAATATAAAAAAGCTTGTATATAAATTTATTTGAATATAGGTAATTTATTTTGGATCAATTATTTATTATCCACCTATGGTCCTATTTATTTGACAGTGCAATATACCAATAAGACATTATACAAATGGAAAATCTAAACGCATACCTGTACAAAATATTGACCTAATCAAAAATAGAATACGAAATGGAAAAAACTATACCAGTGTAGAGTCTTGACAGATGAAAACACATCCTCATTTCCTTTCATAATTCAAAGAACTGGGTGTCACTAATAGATAACTTCAATAAAGTTGATCCAAAAAATTGGATGTTACTAACAGATGGGCTAACTTCTATGAAGTTGATTTCAAAAATTGGATGTTACTAACTGGTAAGCAAATTCCACGAAGTTGATCCAAATAATTGGATGTTAATAACAAGTTGGCTAACTTAAATCAAGTTGATCCAAATTATTGGACGTTAATAACAGGTTGGCTAACTTCAATCAAGTTGATCCAAATTATTGGACGTTAATAACAGGTTGGCTAACTTCAATCAAGTTGATCCAAATATTTGGACGTTAATAACGAGTTGGCTAACTTCAATTAAGTTGATCCAAATAATTGCACGTTCATAACAAGTTGGCTAACTGCAATCAAGTTAATCCAAATAATTGGACGTTCATAACAGGTTGGCTAACTTCAATTAAGTTGATCCAAATTGTTGGATATCAGTAATAGCGTTTATAATTGTGTTGGTTGATTCGAGGATAAACCATACACGCGATTCCTGTCACAGTTTTGATACTTCATTGAAAACATTTAACATTTGCTGCCTAATATACATACAAACCGCGCCGTAATAAAACGAAAACCATGCTCTCTCACTCGCACACACATACACGTCTCGCTCGCACGTCACGCACAACCACAATATTCCACAATTATATATAACTAAATATATTGCGATGTGCTGTCCGTTCACTAAATTGCTTTTATGATTATAAAAATATGTATCAGAGGGATTTTTATAACATACTATCTTGTACCTATTGTTTATAGCGAGATGATATGTACTCAATTAAAATTGCAAGAATATTTAAAGGTGTAACTGTCGACCACTTACATGTACGTCTACACGCAACGAAGGACCAGTCTACGGCTTTATTCATCGACTGTTATTGCAATAGTATTCCTACACAGACCATATAAAGTACAAAATGGTTTGGCGTTGAATGAATTCCCTTTTTTTTTTCAATATACATTCCTGTATACATATATAATATATGAACTTGAAGACAATTTTCTATATAAAGTGCTAATATCTTTATTTAGATATATCCTCAACGAGGTTCCTCTGTAGATACGGTCTACAGATTTATACTCTACCTATTCTGCTGAAGATTACTTAAATGTCTCTATTTAAAGTCATAGACAGCACAACGCAAGCAAGTCTAATCGTACATTCGATCTATAATACTTTAGCGTTGAGACGATCGCCACAGGTGAATTGCATCCGTTCGCCTTCGGTTCAGTGCTTGTCCAACACAGTACACTACTTGTGCAATCGGATAATACGCCAATAACGTGTCATAGATTTATTTTATATACGCAAAATCAACTTTACGTTCTTAGTCACGAGTTGATCCAACAAAGTTGATTCAAATAGGTTGATCCAATTAAGTAGATCCACACAATTTGATCCTTACATTATTATACCTGTAATAGTCCTTTGCCTCTTGTTTATTAGAATGGAACATGTCTATTAGTCTAAACAGACATAGATTATATATTAAAACGTTCCTACCCCATAGAAATCCTTTTTTAAACTTTGTGCGATTCCCATCTCCCTTCTCTTTCATTCACAATTAAATACAAAGGAAGGGACGATTGACACTCTATAAAAAAAATAAATAGAGAGCGAAGTCTATAATACAACCTACCCTTTAGTCTAAGTTGGGTAATGTTCGACAAGCACTGCAACCAATCAGACATCACAGTCAAATATATATCGGGCTAATTGATACACCGACGGAGCGATATTTCTTTTTATATATATATATCAGATATCAGATCAAAATTCATTTAAGTTCATATTTGGTTTTGTTATATAATTTTAGAATAAAATTGGTATTAATTTCATTTTCACACACATATAACTAATATATTCCCCTGCATTTTGTTACTTCATTACTAAATGAAAGTTATCCTGAAAGAGACTAAATATTTCAGTTTAGTTACTGAAATATTTAGATGTAAATATTTCAGTAACTAACTTTTTTTGTTAGATGATTTCTTATGTAAAAAAAAAGTGATAACTTTAACAATATTGGATATAGCCAAAAATAATTATATGGAACAGATAATAAAAATACTATGAATATTAATACCAATACAATTTAGGTTAAAGCGCATCAAAGTCTTCTGAAAACCATTTTTTCACGAAATACATTCCAATATTTGTATCAGGAATATTATTTATGTAACAAATATTTCGCTTTATTATGCAACTAGAATTGGCGAACGAGGCAACGGCCCACTTGTTGAAAAGTGATAACCATCGTCAACACATTAATACCAAAGATATGACATCGTTGGTTATGTTTGATGCGTTGCCGAAGGACTTAAGATAAATTTTACATCTTGTTTACAATAGCTACATAGTATTTTCAAGTAAAAAACAATCACTTTTATATATAAATAAAAAAATGAAATTAAAAAAGAAAAGTTGATCCAACGATACAGAAGTTGATCCTTGGACTTTGATGCGTCTAATAGTTGATCCGCTGACTCAGATGCGAATACCTAAACCGGATTCGATTATAGCCTAATAATATTAAGGCCTAAAAACAGTCCGCAGTTGTCTCTTTCGTGTCTGTTGTCGGCAGAAAAGGACAGCATGTTCAGCTTACATCTATAGTTTCGCTTAGCTACCGTCGGTCGTCGATGCCCCGCTGTTTAACGCCATCTGTAATCGAAAGACATTTATGATCAGTAAATCGAAACTATATGAATAAAAAGCAAATGCTGTGTGTTGGTAAGATCATGGCTTGAAAATGACCGGATGTAATAGATTTTCACACGGGCGGTATCATGGGCGAAACAGTATACTCTGTTATGTCCATGGTACTGCTCACGTGTATAAACGAGGGTTGCCACTTTCCATCAGGTGGGCCGTCAGTTTGTTTGCCATTCTAAGTTGTATAAAAAAAAAATGTTCTCTCACTGTGATTATTTCTTGTAATTGTTTGTATCTATCATAAGTTTACTATTGTAATCTTTTGGAGGAAACACTAAAGAGTAGCTATCTATAGTTTTATCAATTTAATTACATGTAAGTTAAATCGGTAGTTATTATATTATAATAGTTAGCTTCTTTAAGAGACTAAAAATAAATTTTCGACTACCAATAGGATTTTTATGACTATGTTAAAGAAATATGTGAGTATAATGTATGTATGTGTGTATATGTATGTATGTGTGTGTGTGTATGTGTGTGTGTATGTATGTGTGTGTGTGTGTGTGTGTGTGTGCGTGTGTGTGTGTGCGTGTTCACCGTGTATGTATGTGTGTGTGTGTGTGTGTGTGCGTGTGTGTGTGTGTGTGTGTGTGTGTGTGTGTGTGTGTGTGTGTGTGTGTGTGTGTGTGTGTGTGTGTGTGTGTGTGTGTGTGTGTGTGTGTGTGTGTGTGTGTGTGTGTGTGTGTGTGTGTGTGTGTGTGTGTGTGTGTGTGTGTGTGTGTGTGTGTGTGTGTGTGTGTGTGTGTGTGTGTGTGTGTGTGTGTGTGTGTGTACATACAGCACTTGGTGCGGCTGTATGGCGGCGAGGTGCGCGGGCGAGGGCGGCACGCCGGGCGGCGCGGGCGGCAGCAGCGTCTGCGCGAGACCCTCGAACCGTCCGCCCGCCTCGAACCCGTTCTGCTGTGCACACAAACACCCTTACTGTCGTATCGAACTTACACTAGCGGATCAACGAGGGGATTGTTAGTAAAACGGACTACCAGTCCCATTGCTAGCAATATACCCTCCTAACATCCACTTAGTTTCACCTGGAAAATATAATACTGAATTCCAGGTGTATTCATCACGATGGGCTAATTGATATGCGTTTTCATTCTCACCTATCATCCCTCACTGGTGCCCCGCCAGCGTATCCCGTTATCGCATGCGGGGTTACCATACCATTTTCACCCATCAAACCCAAAAAAAAGCCATCCATCATTTAGAACACCCATTTTCGATTACTTTTTTTAACCGACTTTAAAAGAGGAGGTTCTCAATTTGATTGTATTTTTTTATGTCATATACCTTATAACTTTGACATTTATAAATTGATGGGGGAATTTTTTTTTTTTATATCTGAAAGGACATACTTTCAGATTGGTCCCGTAGAAGTTTTGTCAAAATAGTTTAGTTTTTAAATCAAAACAACTAATTATGACACTATTGTTATAGTTTTTTTTTTTTTATGTAGTACACTATTATTTGATGAATTGACAGGCCAGTTAGCCCATCATGATTGATGGGCTAACTGGCCTGTCAATTCATCAGAATTCATCAGGAATTAAACATGACAGTTTCCAGGGGGAACCATAAGGACCTTTTTAACCTTTTTAAGTATATTGTTAGCAATGGGATTCTTAGTCTCCATTACTAACAATCCCATTCCCCCCTGATGGCTGCCTTGAAGGTGACACGTATACTAACTGGTATCATGATGGTGGGACGCAGAGGCTGGATGGACGGCTGCACGGCGGCCGCGGCCGGGTAGTACGGGTAGTACTGCACCGGGTACCCTATATAGCCCGGATATCCGGCCGCCGCGGCGTACATGGCCGCCGCCGGACTATACATCTGCTGAACATACGGATTACTTTTTAAAACTTTAGATTATATAAACAGAGCAATGAAATAAAGAGAAATAAAACCAGAGAAAAATAAGAGGGAGAGACAAAAGTCGATTCTTAGCTACCTTTGTCACACATTCGTGTTTCAACCGTGAAGCAGTTGTGTTTGCATGACAGTGTTTCGGTTTGAAGGGTGGGATATGGCGTGAATTTACTGGGTACAGAGGAATAACACCTGAGTCCTCAGGAATGGCAACGCATGGGGGGGGGGGGGGTATCATGGGCGAAACAGTATACTCTGTTATGTCCATGGTATTGCTCATGTCTATAGGCGACGGTTACCACTTTCCATCAGGTGGGCCGTGAGCTTGTTTGCCATTCTAAGTTGTATAAAACAAACAAAACAGAGAAAAATAATACTAGAGACAAAAGTGAAGTCACATCCTTGAATTTTTTAACTACACAAAACGTAGTCAATGTGCCTAGTTCCCTGGACTTGTCCACCTCACTGCCTTGTACAAGTAATGTTAGTGAATTTGGAAGCGAAGACAGATGTAGGAGTATGTCGTAAGGCGCTAATACACTACGCGAACATCACAACTTACATTATATAGGTAGAGCATCGAGCCTCCAGAACGCGTCAACTTTTTGTCAGCCAATTGTCACATTAGCTGACTCGTTGTTTTTATCAGTGTTCTATATAATTTACGCACACACTGTATCTTGACGTTTCTATATTTATTTAATAAATGAAATGAGTGTTTACGTATAAAAAGATGCAGAATTTATAAGACAAAATAAATATAGAAGTTATAAAGGAATTACTTACAACTATTTATCACGCAAAATTTTATGATATCCTGAGATGTCTATTTTCGCATCTATAAGTCGTCAGCTTGTTTGCTATTCTAAATATATAAAAATGTGTATGTAGATAGATATATAATGTAGAGGTATGTCCACGTATAATGTATGTGCACGTGTGTATGCGTGTGTGTACGTGGGCGTATGATGTATGTGCACGCGTGTGTTCGTGTGTGTCTGTGTACGTATGATGTATGTACACGTGTGTATGCGTGTGTGTACATGTGCGTATGGTGTGTGTGCACGTGTATATGCGTGTGTGTACGTGGGCGTATGATGTACGTGCACCAGTGTATGTGTGTGTGTACGTGTGCGTATGTATACAAGTGTGCGTATGTGTGTACACGTATGTATGGTGTATGTGTATGGGTGTGTGAACGTGTGCGTATGATTAATATCCACGTGTGTATGCGTGTGTGTACGTGTGCGTATGCTGTATGTGCACGTGTCCGCGTAGAGACTGACCGGCAGCTGTTGGCTGAGCGCGGGGATGGCCTGGTGGTGCTGCAGCTGGTCGTAGGGCGGCGGCGCATACACGCCGCCTGCGCCGGCGCCGGCGCCGCCAAACGTCACTCCATACGGGGAGCCGCCCGCCACCGCGCCGTGCACTGGGGACCGACACACACACTCTATACGGGGGAGGGGGGCCTCAGTGATAGGATCTGGCGGCCCTGTTGCTAGCAATGCACTCTGTCAGATCGACTTCCCAGCTGGAAAGCGTCGTGTTTAATTCCAGGTAAATTTGTCATGACTGGTCAATTGATATCATTCTCACCTATCATTCCTGGTGACCCGCCAGTGTATACCAATCACGCAAGCGGGGTCACAATGTAACAAATAAAGATACTTGCAAAGGATGCGGAGGAGGGGAGAGGGAAGTGATAGAAATGGAGTCTAGTGCCTCCTTACATGAATTAGTCCCTATAGATAGTCTGACTTTATCCTTACCTATCTTCACTTAAAGTATCCAGCCAAATTATCATCTAATAAATCTAGAAAGGTGACGAGCAAAGAGAGAGCCATATTCTGCACCATAACTGTACTTTATTATTATTAATATAGCAATAAATAGCAATCAAATATATCCGAATACCATAACAATAAGGGGGTGAAACTGATTCTGATAATGAGGTCTAACTACCCCATTGTCAGCAATACACAGCCAATTTGACTTCTATGCAGTTCATCTTAGAAATCATTTTAGCTTATTTATTGTTGAAATATATGCCAACTGATCTGACTTCGTCCTCACCTATCATCGCTCATTGGAGTCTGGCCAGAGTGTATCGATAGCGCAAGCAGAGCCTACCATCCAATCATCATTCGTTAAAGAAAAAAAACTACAGCAAGGGGGTTTAATTACCCTAAGAACTGTTTTAAGCCTACCTCCATACTGCGGCGCGGCCTGGTGCGGCGGGGCCGGCAGGAACGGGCCCTGGGGCGGCTGCGGCTGCGGGTACGCGCCGAGGGGGGGAGTTACTGCAACAACTAGCTACGTCAGATACTGTATACTCGCGACCTGTTAGCTCCACCCGACGGCGCTCAATGGTATGGCTTCAAAATCGTACTTTGATGTTGGCACATCCTGATATTACGTAGCGAGTGTTCCATTTTTGAATAATATCGGATTTTTTTTTTATTTTAATTTCCAGCTAAAACTTTAGCTAGTGGAAGGAATAAAGGCAGCTATTCTTTCTATTATAAAATTCACCACTAGCTTGATCTACAAGATTTATTATCTATAAAATGATTTTGTAAGTAAAAAAAAATGGAATTATTTAAAATAAATACAGTGTAATAATATGAATTCTTATTACATCATTAAGCGTAAGCGTAATACAAGGATGACCATTCTTTACGTTTTTTATTTAGATTTCCACAAAAAGAAAACCTTTAATACAAAACATATATGAAAAATTATTTCGATGACATATTACTTTTAGGAATGAGTGAGTTTTAAATTATTAACACATTGTCACTGGCAGTTATATTGAAAAAAGAAAAAAAAAATTTTAACGTCATAAAACTCTATCATGCCTAAGCAACGTGAAGTCCATACAAACATCATCGAAACATTTTGTGCCATGTCGACGCAAGCGTACCGTACGGGCGAGCGTATCCGCAACCCAAGCCCGAGCATTCACGCTTGACGCAGCGGTGCGGCCGTGTTACACGTATGTCACCATGGTTTACCATTTTTCTAGGACAATTTTTTTTTTTATTCAATCTTCAGTGACGACTTTGTAAATTTGATAGAAACGGGTAATTTTGATATAGAATTGTCTCGTTTTTACATAAAACTAAAATAATGCAAAAATGAGTCAGTGGTAAAAAAAAACGATGGTGACATAAAAGACGGCCGGGACGCGGACGAAATAAGAATATTTGGATATTAGTACGGAATATAGCATTTGAGTTGGCGACTGGCTAGTCCCGTTTGAACGTAATGTAACATGTAACAGTACTATACTGTACTAACGTAATGTAACATGTAACAATACAGTACTGTTACATGTTACATTACGTTATTACAATGAGACGCAATATACTAGGTTGCGAACTGCGTATATTACAAAAGTGTAGATCATACGTTAGATTTACGTGTTCTTATCTCGTCCGCGCTGTGATCACTGACGCCAGTGTTAACGACAAGCGATGTCCATACAACGCGTGGCATATCGTCACCAATACGAGCTTTCCAAAAACGAATCTTAAATTGTAACACAACACTGTCCATTTTGGAAAGCTCCATCTAGTGACCGAGCCGCGATTCATAGGAAAAGAAAATAATTCTCTTTATGAACCGGGGACGGGGGATGATTTGGTAGGTCGAGTTGACGATCCAACACAGTACAAATGGAGTGTGCTGAACGCCTACCAAACGTTATTTACAATGCATTCCTCAACTGCAATGATCACACTGACTTACAACGATTAGATGGAAACAATTGAGGGGTTTTTCTTTCCAAATAATCCGTTGTTACTAGTAATTGGGTGCAGTGTTGGCAAGCTAGTGTGACCATATTAATCCTTATATTGTAAACAAAACAACCACACGATAAAGTACCTTCAAAAAAAGACATTAATTTTACTTATGAGTTTAACTGTGAACTTAGGTGTTTAAGTTATTTAAAAATGTGCTATTTATTAAAAAAACAAAAAGAGGATTAATAAATCTTTGTTCTCTTTTTCTAGAAACATACATTTTTACAGTGCTGACGAGTCCCGACTGTGTAATAGTGTATTAAAATCACGAGATATAATTTTTGTTCACGGGAATCGCCATTAATCAACCATAAATTCACAGTCAATCAGAACGCGACCGTTAAAAGGAGGCCGGCGGCGTGTATTCACTTTGTGAACATTCCTTTGTAAATTAAAACATTATTCATTAATACTATAAGTAACTAACTATTCGACAATTGTACCAAGATTTCTTGTCGTAAATATATCGATCGTACTTATATACTACTAGATATTAGAATGAAGCCTCAGAAACGGCCGAGCTTTCGATACAAGGGAAAATACACTTTATTCATTGCTATTAAGGTTTAATTTACATCGAAATCAATTACTTTCCAACAATACTGTCACACGATGGCCTCATATTAGTTCCTGAGGCGATAGCTAGTAGCATTCACGATCGAAGTGGTAAATACATTATGGATGTCAAAATACATTTTCATATTATTTTGCTGTTCAAATCTATGAAGCGTATATGCAAAAAAAGCAATAAAAAAAAAAAAACGGAAATACAATAATTATGATGAGTGCGTCGAAGGACATAGAAACATGCAATTGTGAGACAACACAAAAGAGATACACTGTAAAATTTAAAGAAACAGCTAAAATAAAATCCATGCTTACTAACAACTAACTAACAACTAAAAAACTTATAGCAATGTTAATTCCAAATAATAGCATTCAGGCCGTAAACAATGGCAAATGTCTCGTGCCTAGAAACTAAAAAAAAAAAAAAAACAGCTGCAATAAACAGCAAAATTTTATATGAAAAAAAAAAAAAGGTAAAATACCGTGTTATTCACAAAAATCCTGGTAAGGTTTAAACATTAATTTCAGTATACTTATTCGGCTATTTAAAAAGTATCCATAATTTTATGGTAAACAAAAAGAGAGAAATTATATGGCACACTTTTTATTACCGATAAAAATGTATGGTAACATAATATCGTTACTGAAAAAAGCATATTTTACGACGAAGCGCGTTAATATATTTGTTGTTTTATAATAAATCAACAAATGGGAAAAAACAAGCCGGTATAACATACGTTTCAATAGAAATCTTGCATAAGGCATTTCGAACGATAAATACCTAACCACAGGATCCCTGTAAAAAAAAAATCCAACGAAAACCGCCATAGATACGCACGACCAGAGAAGGGAAGATATACTAAAAAAAAAAAAAGTAGGTGGGACCCTAGAAAATGGTGGTAAAGTGTTTAATTCCGATATATATGAAAAAATACAGGTTAGAATCTCGCAACTGACATACTTCCCTGTCCTTCAATTGAAGCTTATTTGCATGCACCATTGTCTGTGGCAGATCAACTGCTATAGACAATGTAACGGTACAAGATCATCACTCGGTAATCTAATTACACATATCGAGGGTTTGCGACGAAATTTACACCATCAGTGACGATCTCTGACCGTTAACTTAACGGCTAGATTAAACGCACACGCACTAACAATGTCATTCCGGTTAATTTAAGGTTCAATCCACAATTTAATGTAACCACCCTTTTAATTTATATTTGTTTTGCAAAACTTCACGGCCAGCACATACGAGAGACCGTCTCTAATGTTAATAGAACATATAAAACTTTAATATTTCAAATCTATAGTAAATCCTCCGAAAAATAGATTAGTAAATACAATGAATTTTTGTTTCCTTCCAGGACAAAAGTCTCTCGTTTGTGCAAGTAAGGTCAAAGTTAGAGAACATTTAAGCAAATACATTTTCTATATTTAATTAAACCTTTAGACAGATAGTGTATTTATTACTAACAATAATAATTTAAAATACAACATTACAAAAGAAAAGAAAAAATTCATATTGCAGGTTGCTGGGGCCGCATCAGCTATTGCTATATATTGTGCATATATCCAGCGAGATGTACCTATATAGCGCTGATTTTCAGGCGGCCCCTTAGCTTTCTAATTGTCATTTGAACTCTTCTCATTCGTTTTAATTATTTCTCTCCCGTAAAATCAAAAATTAAAAGTTGTGTACCACAAAAAAAAAAAAAAACCAACTGCAATTGTGTCAAAACGAGATAGTCTAAAAATTAAACTAATGAAACGATTTTGATAAAACACGTATAGGACCGATCTGTAAGTATATCCTTTCAGATGTAAAAAGAATTTTCCAAATAGGTTCACAACTGACGAAGTTATGAGGTAACAAACATAAAAAAAAAAAAAACACGAAAACCACAAAAAAATATTATACCAAGAACACTACATTCTTCATTTCGAATTTAAAAAAAGAATGGCCATTTTCCTATTCTCTATTATTCACATTCTGTATTTGTATTTTGTCTATGGTTAATCTGTTACCTTGTAATTGTTACTTTTTGGCTGATGGCTTTCGCCAAAGTCATAATAAATAAAAAAAAATGTCTATGGTTAAATTATTGTTTTTTTTTTTTATTGTCAATGCTACGACAAATTAAAAAGGTGGTATATAAGTCTGAATATAACTTATAATAGTTTTATTCGGACTTCATATTAGTTTAATCTTAGAATTATGTGTTGATTAACAAAACAAATGCGCACGGCACGACTGTTATGGATATGTCAAATAATACTAGTGCCAGATCACCGTCACCTTACATAGTAATAGAGCAAAAAACATTTTTTTTTTACAGGTAAAAGTAAAAAAAAAAAATGATTTTTGTAAAACAAAAACGAAACGGTAATGAAAATACGAATTACGGTTTCGGTCTTTGATGTTATGTTAGTATTAAACACACAGTCTTAAACAATAAAAGGGCATAACTTTTTTTTTTTTTAATTGTTACGTGTAACGACTTAATTACAATCATAGACAAAAAGTCATGCCTCGACTCCAGCACAAAATGTAATTTAATAATATTTCTGTGCTAATTGAAATCTCAAGGAAACCTTAAAGATTCCAAGCTATTAAAAAGAAATTGTGTTTCTAAATTGTTTTCGACTACAAAAACAAATGAAAATCAATTCCAATGGCGCGCAATTTCTTTTCAATTTATTTTAAAACTAAATAGCTTAAACTAGGTAAGAAAAACAAAAATCAAACGTAAGACAACCCTATTACATTATAATAGGGTATCTTGAAGACTTAGAGGCAATTTCATTTCTTTTTTTTCAAATCTCTTTATGACCTGCACATGTATACAAATACATTTACTTGACTATATTTGATAATAATTTGCAGCTAAGTCTATAAAGGTGCAATAAATACTAGCATTAATGTA